ATTGATGATTTAACTATATTATATCTTGTATCATTAATAAATTCTTGAAACATTAATTTTATCTACTCATCTTGATTTGAAGTATCGTCTCGTGATCCGTCGACGTTTGACAACTTGCCCGGCCACACTTGGGCAAATCGATTGTAGGGTGACTGTGACTAAAGTACTTATGATTTTATTGATGGTCAAATGAAAATATATAATAGTACTAGCTTTCCATCAGCGGTTTCGCGGTATTATATTATAAATATTTTTTTTAAAATAGCGGTATTATTTTTTTTTTAAATCACCGTGTCTATTAAAAAAACCTCATCGAAACCCATTGCGTAGTTTTAGACGTACAAACATATAGCGAAAGACAGACGGAAAGGATTTTTATTTTATACTATGTATGAATTTTAGCTAACATTTCAATTCAATCGAACCACCGTTAAATTCAGTTAATTATCAATGAATGCATTTTGGCAAACATTGATTAGTTATGCTTTCCGATATTTAACTAATTGACATGATTTTAAAATATTACTTTTTTAAATGATGTTTTAATATCGTGATTAAAACAATAAATTTCTATTATTATATTTCAAATGTATAATTAACAAAAAAAAAAAAATATAAAAGTGAATCGCCGAAATGTCTATAACTGACTCCAAAATAGAGGTAATCATTTCATTTTTATCCGACCTTAAAGAAATGAGGCTATCAATTTGACTGGTATGTAAATAATTTTGATGGAATATGGCGCAATATGTATGTTATGTATGTGGGTATATGTTTGTCAAAAAAGGGGACTACATATTAGAAAACTTAGAAAATGACTTACGAAACGAACTGTTGCCAGAATACCATCACAGAAAATGTTTATCTGATAAATATAAGTATTTTTAAATACAGACGAAGGTGTGCATTTATTTTATTTTTTTTATTGCATTTTAATACAAAAGGCGGACTTAATGCCAAAGGCATTCTCTGCCAGTCTACCAGTAAAAAACCACTACCAGGGTCAGGTCAGGATGTTAGGCGATGATAATTAAAAAAAACAAAAAAAAATAAAAAAACTGTTGCCAAAAACTTATTACAACAAACAAATTGGTAAAAGCCATAATACTATATATACCTAAACAAATATATATGTAAATATAGATTAAATATGAATATATACATAAAAAAAAGAATAAAGAACGCATATGAAATAATTATATATGAAGAAAGTGATCATGCATCAATCTCTTAAAAACCATTCTACTCTGAGCAGTTTTAATATGAGCTGGGAGAGCATTCCAAAGGCGAATAGCTGTCAGAGTAAAGGATTTGGAAACAAAATCAGTATGATGAACGGGAGTTTGAAGAATGAGGTTGCTACTAGAGCGAAGATCACGTTGATGACTGGAACCAAGATGTTGAAACCTAGACTTCAAATATCCAGGGGTGCATGGATCGTAAAGGATTTTGAAAAGCATACAGACAACTCGCAGGTTCCTGCGTTAAGTAAGAAGCAAATTATATGCATCCGTAATAACTTCAATGCTTTAAAAAAAGAAACAATTTATTAATAAACATTCATAATATAAATATTTGACTGAAAAGAGAGAAATAATACCACAAATTTTTATTTTCAATAAAATCGATCGAATCGGTTCAATGTTTAGTATCAATCGTTACTTTTTTCGAATGCAATGCAATGCTCCTTGATTTTGATTCAATATACTTAACCTGTTTTATAATGGCATGTTTAATATATTATTTTGCGTGTGAATTTAAGGATCGAGATATCAATAGCTTTCCTTCTTTTACATTATTTACTATACAGAATGAAATAAAAATAAAAATCAAAGGTCGTAGGCAAGTATTAATATACGCCGATCAAGTTTTGCCTGGACGGAACATGATTCGCCACCATTTCACATTTCAAATTTCTATATAATGTTAAATTAAGTGACAATTAGTAAATCAAGAAATGCATTTTGGCAAATGGTGATTATGCATTGCGCTTTTTCATTTATCACCGTGATTATTATTAAAATATATTGGTATGTTAAATGATGTTTAAAAAGTTTTTAAATCAATTTTTGTTAGTTTGATGATTTTGGTTTGTCGTAATCCAAGGAAGGTGTAAACGGGGGAGTACTTCGTATCCTGAAGTACACCGGGTCATCTATATTAAATTTAAATATGAACATCAGTATTTCATAAAACTAAAAGCTATGGAAGACGAAATAATAGCATTTTATTTCAAAACATACAATAGAATTAAATACAAATATTTCGCATTGTATTTTACCTTTCTAAACCATATTACCATTATGGAATCTTATCTTTTAAACGCAAAGATAAGAGTTCTTTTTTGTTTTATTTTTTGTACACCATATTCCTATACAAAATAACAGAGACCGAAGCGTTTGAAAGAGTTGTTTATTTACACAATTTGTTTTGACACCACAAATCTTAGCGTTAATAATAAATACCACGTGAACCTCATTTCAATATTAATCTATATTTGTTTTCGTATTAATTTGTTGCTCGCGGATATTGATTAAATAAAACGTGTTTAATGGTGACATCGTGCTTGTCTAATATATTATTTTGCAAAGAAATTCAAGAATTCGGGAGGGATATGGTCGCCCTTCCTGCTGCCACTGGCCTCCCCATCTCAAGTTGAATATTCTGCATCTCTGAGACAAACAAACACATTACATACATTGATGATTTAACTATACTTTATCTTCCATCATTAATAAATTCTCGAAACATTAATTTGATCTACTCTTCTTGATTTGAAGTATCGTACCGTGATCCGTCGACGTTTGACAACTTGCCCGGTCACACTTGGGCAAATCGATTGTAGGGTGACGGTGACTAAAGTACTTATGATTTGTATGAAAATAAATACATAGATACATATATAATAAGTACACTAGGTATAACGGCCAATTCCATGCAGTTATATCGCTTCATCATCATCATCATCATCACCAGCCCTTTTGCGTCCCCATTGCAGGGGCTCAGGCCTTCCTTATGGATGGTTAAGGAGGATGGGTCATGATCCTCCACGCTGGCCCAATGCGGATTGGAGGGTATTAACCACTGCAAATGCAGCCGGGATCAACGGCATAACGTGCCTTCCGAAGCACGGAGTAGCTCGAGATTATAAGTTTTTGGTCACCCATCCAGTGACCGACCCTTGCGAAAGTTGCTTAACGACTACGATTACGGACCGCAGCGCTTATCCACTACACCACCGAGCTACTCATCTTATTATATTGCATATTCAGTGAGCAATTATCAAGGAATGCATTTTGCCAAACATTAATTAATCTTAACGTTTTTTAACAAATTAACAAGATTAATAAAATTTCCCTTTGTTTTAATACATATTGTCTATTATTATATTTCAAATGAATTATTAACAAACAAACTTTTTGTTTTGGTTTTTGTCAAATGACAAAAAAAAATATTTTTCCTAAATATAGCTTCGGCTAATAATATTTAAGAAAGTCGTGTAAAAGAAGTAGTTAGATACACGCGCTATACTCAGCCATATCCCGAGGAGCCACGTAGTTGGCTAGCTAAATCAACAAATACGTGATCTGTCGAACTTTATATTGGCCCATCAGGATGACAGATTTGGCCAAATTATGAAATAGCCCAAGTCGTGGTCTGTCGAATCAGATCTTAATCGTTCTACTTTAGCGATCGGTCCATTTCATACATATGTAAGAGATAGTTAAGTATTTATGTGAAATACGGATTTATGTGAAATCTTTATCTTGTCAAGAAAAGCAGCAAAAAATGGCAGTACCATCCTTTTCTCGATGTTATTGGGGCCATATTGACTCCCTGTAACTGGAACTAGCTAGAAATCTAATTTTCAGTTACTAAGAAATTAAAGTTAAAAAATATTGGAAGTCAAATTTCTTCAATTTTGTCACTGACTAACGATTTTCTTGGTACTAGTAATAACGTTTTAACGTTTACACTAATTAACGTTTCTTGGCATAAGTGAAGTGAGTATTGAAATGACATAAAAATAGAGAATGTCTCGAGATACATATATTGAATCAATTATGTTTTATGTTTTTATCCAAAACATGGAATCAATAGAATTTCTTTACTAAATGACGTGAATTCACACATTTGAGTGAATTCTAATTTGGGTCTGATTTTTCGCAAGGCTGGTTAGAAAAAGTTGTCAATCCGGGCCTCTGATGAGTTAGTCCACCACTGGACAAGTTTGCTTTTGTTTGTACACTATCTACAAAACTGTGACATAACGAACCCCACTACTCAACTTTATTGCCTATTATAAAAGCCATTTCTTCTTTAAATTGAAGAAAAAAAATACGTGTCTAATGTTTTACTATTATCCGACTGACAGACTGCATAGAAGTTATTTTTTTTACCCAGTTTATAATGTTAAGGATTTAATTTATATGTTAAAGAGCTTTTAAAATTAAGTTTACTTTTTATTTATTAAACAGTCTATTTTTTAAATCATAATGGATTTATGTGAAATGTCACGTCCTTAAAATCTAAACCAGCGTTTGATTTTTTAAAACAAAAGCATCTATACCTTACAGGCCACTTTTAGAAAATATTTATTAAAATACTACATGTCGCTCACTGAATAGTACAGAGGCACACTTCAAAAACCATATTTCAAGAAACGCTCTCCGAAGTTATGAAAATTTTATATTTTTTTAGCATAACAATTAAATCGTTTGTATTATATTATTACTGTTATGTTTTTTTTATTTTTTCTTTAAATTATCTATCCCGTATAATTAGTGGCATCCCCCACCACAATGTTGTGGCGTTTTCTCGAAAAAATGGTTTTTGAGATGCGCCACTGTACTTTTCAGTGAGCGATGTATATTGTATTTTAATATTTTTCTACTCCTCTTGAACTACTAGATTAATATATTAAATAATAATAAAAGTACAAAAATTATGTCTAAGTGGAGTGAACTTTCTTAAAATAATAAGAGGCAAGAACTGAATAGTAACAATGAACACATGTAAATATGCAGATTTATTGATCCAAAATTAGGTGTTAAAATATAATACTAGTGTGTGAACTGGGCTTCAACGGCACATCATTATTAAAATCTCTAAGAGAATATTAACAATTTAAACCTAAGCAATTTCATATATGCAGATTAGAATATGTAACTAACATTTGTGATTGGCACTTCAACATCCTCCAGGAATGCTTAATACAATAATTTTTATTTAATCTATATTACAGAAGCGTTTTAATTTCAGTATACATCATTTGTAACAATTCATACTATATCTAATTTTAGCTCTTATATTATTTCATTAATTTGTTCTATACAAGCAAATGCACATTTAAAACATATTATTCTGTCGAGCCTTTAACATATCTACCTCCAATGCTAGCTTTCTGTTACTTTCAACCAAAGCATTTTGGTTGTGAACCAAATTCTGCATTTGCTCGTTCAAACCAACTAATTGCTTCTCAAGATACAGTTTTTGTTTTGTAAGTGCCATCATAATATGCAAGAAATAGTTTCTGTTATCATCAGCTACATCTGCAAGACTTAATTTGATAAAGTCTTTTAGGTCTTCCATTACTTTTGTGTCAACAGGAACTGCTGTACTTCCACTGTTACATCTGGATTGTTTCATATTGGAGACATTAATATTTGTGTTTCTACCATCATCTGGCATTCCATTTGAAATGCCAATGATGGGGGATGGAAACCCAAGGTTTTCTGCTGTCCTACTGTTGAGTGGTGTAGAAACTTTGTTTATATTTTTTTCTCCATCTAACTGGCAATAACGTACATCATGTTTCATACTTTTCCTGTCATGTTCAGACTTATTAAAGTCATCTTCAAAATCAATATTAGTTTTATCAAGGCCCATCATAACAAGGAAAGAGTCAGCCTTAGCTTCACCTTGATTTGAAACTTCTAAATTATTATTTTTAGGAGGTGTATCATTTACAAAGAACAAATCTGAAGTTCTATTATGAACTGGAGATTGCATTTTACGAGGTGACAAATTTGTTTCCGTATCATCTCTGAGACTAATGTCTACAGAAATCTTATGACGTGAAGGTTGAAATGCAACACGGCGTACCTCTTCCTCATGCCCTTTTAAAATTTTAAATGAATCTGTCAAATCTCTTAAATCATATATTAGGACAATACCATTCTTTGTACCTAGTGCCACTTGGTTATCAACATTTATAGCCAAAGAAGTAAGAGTGTAGGGGGTTTTAATAGTAGAGACAACATTCTGCATTCTCACATCATAAACATGCATAATTTTGTCATATCCACACGATAACATTACATCTTTGTTTATAAGTGAATAAACAAAGTCACTAACTGGAGAGGCATGAACATTTTCAAATAGGACTTTGTCTTTGTTGGTGGTGATGTCACGTATCACCATATGTCCTTCATCTGTTGCCAAGCCAAGAAGTGATCTTGATTCATGGTGGAACTTCATTGCTGATATACTTTTTGAACATGGAAGCTTAACAGTTGACACAGGAATATTAGATACTAATCCATAGATAATTGTATCTCCATTTTGTGTGGTAGCTGCCAAACTGGTGTTTTTGGCATTGTAACTGACAAAATTGACACTTGATTGCTGTGAAGGTGTTGGGAATGTCTTTGTTATAGATTTATTTTTAGTGTCCCATATCATCACGTTGCCGCTCTTTGTACCAATAGCGATATTACGATGGCCATCTCTATGAAAACTTGCCGACCAAGTGTCTTTCAAAGGTATGTGCTGCAAGCTTCTAACATCATGATCTGCGGCGCTCAAAATCTCTATCAATCCTTTACCGTTAACCTGAAATATATTTTCAAAATAATCAAGACAGATAAGGCAGACACTGAATAAATCGTAGACAAATCGCAAGATCATCTAGAGAGTATATTAAAAATTGAGTAACTGGATCCATGTTCTGTTAGTTACCTGCAACATATATTTACTATCCTCGCTCCACGAAATATCTCTCAAAATCCCGTCATAACAGCTGTAAGATTTTTTCAAATTCCAACTGCTAGTGTCATATAATAACAAGCGAGAACTAATAGATGAAAAATACATATTGAAGTCTATGTCTAAAAAAACATATGCGAATTCTGATGGCACTTCCAATAACAACTAATTCACTCTGACTATACCGTGTTTAGTTTAGAATGTATGCTGAAAGAAAACGCAAAATTTTTATTCGAGCAAGTTTATTTTGATTCCATTTCGTTTGACGTTTGACATTTAACACATATGAATGACATGCATTGCGTGCATTCCAAAGCCAAAGAGATGGCCAAAGAGTAATAATGCTGATTTACACGTCAATTTAAAGATAAGTAGTAAGTAGATTATTAGTTTAATTTTAAGTGATTAGGTACGTTGAAAATGAGGGAGGAACGAATATCAATACAATGGAAACAATCAAAGTGTGAAGAGAGCGGAGTGAACGAACATTAATAAAATGGAAACAAAAACATGTAAACGTCCCTATGACTACAGATGCCTTTGTCTTTAACCTAAAAAAAATATATACACAACGTGAAAATTGGATGTGTGACGTGTATTTTATTTTCAAAAAACAAAAACCTTAAATCTAAGAGAGAAACGTCTGAATATTTGCGAAAAAACGTGTGTAAGTATTACCAAGAGTTCTCCCATTTAGCATTATCACATAATTATGTAAGATAATACATGTATTTTAACTATTATCGTTTTTTCCAGCCGTTTGTGATCAGTTTTTCACTTGTTAGAACTTTATAAATCATTATATATATTTTTTGTTTTCAGATACCTACGTGCAAGCAAAATGATCACCGATATTCAATTGGCTGTTTTCTCTAACATTCTGGGTGTTTCAATATTCTTATTGGTTATTCTCTATCATTACATCAACGCCAACAGTTCCAAGTGAAAAAAGTAAGAAGGATATACTTGATTCTTTCAACAATTATAAACTAGCTAACTTAAATCACACAACTTCTATCTAACATTATTTTTGACAGAATGTACTACAAGGTAATTGAACCAACCTCCTCATGAATTACATTTAAAAAAAATCACAAAATACTACAGACCAGAAATTTTTTGTAGATTTGAATATAGACACAATGACTTGAAATTAAATGGATAACCTGGAAATTAAATGATCAAAGTTAAAATTAGTATTCCAATAAAATATTTGTTGATTTACACATCTTGTATGCAGTTTTAGTTGAGATTTAGAATTATGGATCTTGAATATTCATAATGATTTATGAACGCATTGTGGCGTTTACTGAACATCTTTAGTTTACAATTCTGAATATTTTTGAATTGATACATTTGTCGGAATAATAAAATGTTAATGTTTTTTTCAGATCACACCCTTGCCTTCAGTTTCTCCTGATGTCAGAGAAGATTATAATATAAGATGTAAATAAATTAATAATATTTTTAGTTGTTTTTTTTTATTTCAACCTACATCGGGACATCCCAGGCTAACTACACCCAGCTCGGAGGGAAACAATTATTCTTTAGTCTCCCGTGCCAGATGTCTCCATCATCAAGTAGGGACCACACCTTCACCATAATGGTTCCTACACCTTGTTATAAAAAATATAATAAAATTAACTTGTGGATCTCATGGCCTTAAAAACGCTCCAGTTACAGAATTCTATTTTAATTAAAGAAGAAAAAGAAAGTATTAAAAAATGAAACTTAAAACAAATGTCACTTTTGTTTTGTCCATGATTCTTACCAATAAAATATTATGAAGTTTTCTCTTGGGGTTTCAAAACAAATTCTTGGCCCATCAAACAACAGACATTTGTCAACCACTGATCTCAACAGCCACAAGGTATTTTACTGCTCTGACTGATCCAATCATATGATCTAGTCTCATTGTTGTATTGTGGTCTTACAAGGTGGTCAAACCTAGAATCGTAATAATTATGGATCAAAGTTAGATGTGTAGTGCCCTCACACTCATTTCTGTGTCCGTCGGTCTGGCAGCGCCACAACTAGAACTGTATTTACAATGAATGTATAAAAGAGACGTCGGCGCAGATCAGTGTAAAATCGCATCTAATACCAGGTGATCATTTGATCTCTTATTTATCAGTTTGGGACATAATGCCCATGAATGGCTAAAGTAAAAACTGTTAGATGTAATTAAGAAATAGTGTGACGCTGCTGGGCTGCCGTCATTCTGGCAGCGCCGCGCTATATCTTCTTAACTATACTCCATTCATTATAGCATTAGACAGAAGTTAAATAAGGTTCTTTTTATGGTATACTTTGTGATAAAATATTAACAATCATGTTACTCTTAAGGATGACGGCTTATTTGCTACATATCCACTTAAGTACCAGCAGCTATACTTAACAGCTGTCGTTTAAACTATCTGTTAAACAAAATTATGAGTATTTGACTAACTTAAAAGATTTAAGTAATAACTTTTACAATAAAAAGTGTCCTTCTTAAAGAACCTAGAGAAGCAGGATTGGCTACTCTCGGCACGATTTCTATGTCACTATTACTCTCATCATCATCATCATCAGCCCTTTTATGTCCTCACTGCAGGGGCTCAGGCCTTCCTTATAGATGGTTAAAGAGGATGGGCCATGACCCTCCACGCTGGCCCAATGCGGATTGCAGAGTATTAACGACTGCAAATGCTGCCGGGACCAACGGCTTAACGTGCCTTCCGAAGCACGGAGTAGCTCGAGATAATAATTTTTGGTCACCCATCCCGTGACCGACCCCTGCGAAAGTTGCTTAACGACAACGATCGCGGGCCGCGGCGCTTAACCACTACGCCACCGAGCTACTACTAATTAAAACGTTGCCTAATCCCTTCAATCGTTTCCGTAGTACAGCTTTTTAATTTTGTCAGATTATGATGTATTCATAATAGTCAAAATACGTAATCTGGGATTCTCATTAATTGTGAATGTTATTGCCTTTGTTGTTGTTTTATCGTATTCCGTGATTGAGTTGTTATTGTATTATTGTTGATCTCTTATAGTTTTATTTAGTTGTTATCTTTTGTAGTTAAGTTTTGCTAAATATGGACGATTCCGGTGCAGGTCCGAATGGCCTACAACAATTACCTCTTACATTTCAGGAAGTTTTTCCAATATCTTAATCAATAATCTAATAATATCTCAATAAATGTTATAAAAGTAATTAAAAAAAATAATTTTGTTTACCTTTCTTTCCTGGTCATAAATATAACTAAATTCTATTCTAATTATACACTTACAATTAGAATTTATCAAAACAGCAGATAGATAGTTATAGTTCCATATTGGCTTGGGAGTAAAAGATGAATTTAAAAAATTCTAGCCTCATCGCAAAAGAAAATGGAAAATTGCCCAACTCTTTCAGACTACTTAACGTTCAAAGTTTCAACAAAACTATTATATATATTTTTAAAATTTATCTTGAAAATAAAATATTGTGCACTGCTGCTTCTGTGATCCTCTTTTTCTGATGTTATAATGAATGGAATATATGTGTAGTTAGTTTACAAGCTTACTCTTGTAAAATATGTACTATCATTTTAGAATGAACAGTGTTGCAAACTCGATACATAAGGTAAGTGCTAGATGACATCTCAATAAGTATTAGATTGCCAGGGATATCCAAAAAATATTATACTCGTAAACATATTTATTTCACTTGAGCAAAAAAGAAAAAACACAACTTAAGTATCTTAATTTTTTTTTTATTATAAAAATATACTTAACATTACTAAAGTAATTCATCTTCACTATCATAATCTTCTGGAAAAGATTTTTTCATGTAGGATCGTACGTGATTCGGAGATTGATATAGGTGAATTATTAAACTAACATGTAATCCATCTATAAAAATAATAATCCTATGTATTCACCAGTCTAGGGTAGCATGAAATGGAGTAAATTTCGAAAATAATCTTAACAACAACAAAGGATTTTACCGCTCAGAATATTCTGGTCTCATAATTTTTTGTGGTAAAATACTCTTATATCACCGGCTCCAGGCTGTGGACCATGATCGGCGAACACAGGCCATCAACGCATGTAGACGACATGATCGACTATAATGGCCCATGATCGGAGATGATCGTGCATGATCGACTGTGTCGGTTTTTGGACAATCATCATAGGAAATTTGGCCATGATCGTGCGCGTGTCCACACAATCGCCAATCACTCAGTTCGAATCAATTATGATACAGTACGGACGCGGGCTGCTTTGCTATAATCGATGCTAAAATGTTATAGCCGAAGAAGACCTATAATTTATAATTATAGAATTATACCAGAAGATTGCTCGACATGGACAATTTGGATTCTTGTATCGGCGTTCATATAGTTCAGATGGCATATAATAAATGTGGGTTGGACGTTTGTGTGATGGTTACAATCATGATGGCACTCAGTAATTACCCATCATCGCCAATAGAGGAGAGGGCCCATAACGAGATAAAACATAGAATCTGAATAATTATGTCTCAAAGTCAAATATGTAACGCCTGCCAAATTTTATTAGGATTTTTGTTGTGATTTTTCAACCAGGCGTTACGAATAGTTTGCATCTAAATAATTATCAAACTTACTGGTCTTTCTAGACGATTCATTTTTATTTTCAAACCATAGGTTGTTTCGCAAATGTCGGGTTTTAAATAACTTTGGTGTTGTATATAGTATAAGGAAGTAATATTTTTATAAATCAGTCTTTCTAAACAAAATTTAATTGAAAAAACTACAGGAAGTTTTTTTTAAATTAATAACAAATAGGTAAACTAGTAATACAAATACAACAGTCCATCATCACGTTACCTTGGTCGAAGCTCTGGTTGGCAACCGTGTGGGACAGGTTTAGCTACTGAAAGTGTAATTGAAATATTATTGAAATATTAATTATGTTTCAAGAGTTAGTCTCCTCAAGAGTGACTTCAAAATCTAATAAATATTGTATTTGATTGAATATCTAATACAATGCCAACGCTGTGGTGCTCGCTGTATTTAATAGAATAGCAAGCATAGAGTATCTTTGTATACTGGAAAATAGCAAGCAAGGCAGTAATAGTATGTATATGACATTGACAGAATTGTGCGAAATGCGCAGATAAGCCATAAATTAAAGAAAAAGAAGAAGAACTAGCCAGCAGCTTCAATACAATATAATATTACATGGGCAGTGATATACATATGTAGTAAGCTTTGCATGAAAGAGTAACAAACGCACATATTTACGTTACTACATAGATCCATCCTCACAAA